ATCTAATGCTTTGTATAATTGGACACAGGAACACGAACACAAGGCCATCTGCCCGGACTGATCTCTAGTAGGCCCTCTCCAACACTGAGCTGTTTGAGGTTGGTGTTCTCCTCTGCGGGTTCGTACAGGACAAGGTGGTCACTCGTGTCAAAGGTAGGTGGCACCCTGCATCGTACATGCGCTGTATTCCCAGGCAGAATGGTGACATGGTCCCTGCCTACTCTTATGGCAGTCATGTTGCAGCCTGATGGTTTTTTTGCCTGTATAAAGCTGACCACAGTGTTGACCTGTTCTTCTCCTACTCCAAGGGTTTTACGCAGAAGACCGATTACCATGGCTTGTGCATCTGTGATGGACACCTGGCTGCTGAGCATCTCCTGTAGGACATTGGCACCAAGCAGGGGCTGGGGGAGGGGGAGTTGGCTGACAAGGAAGGGAACCTGCATGGTGAGGCTTGGATTGTCATTGCCTGGGAGGTTGACTGTTAGCTCCACCCACCCGTCGTATGGGATGGACTGTCCATTTACAGCACATAGATTCAAGCTTTCCCCTGGGTCAAGGAGCTCTTCTAAAAGTCTTATTGGATGTTTGGGAATGAATGCCTCTTTCCAAGATCTGTCGATGATGCTTACTTGTGAACCAGAATCGAGCAGAACTGTAACAGCATAACCACTGATGAAGCAGTTTAGCAGGCTCTTTCTACCAACCAATGGCACTGTGTTGTTTGGACACCCAGGGGTCGTCTGGACATATTTGGACCTTCTGTCACACTCACTGACCTTTAATCGTCTTTGATGGTGCCTAAATGTTAATGGTTGGGACTGGAGTTGTGAACTGGTCTCTGGTTGTCCCTCAACAGAGACCGCCCATCGTTTCCCTGCTGCTGGCTTCTCTTCAAACAACCAACTGCCCGATGCCCTGGGTCTCCACACACAAAGCAGTGGCTGCAGCGCTGTAGACCCTGTTGCGTACAGCTGGTGCAGCTGGGTGTCCTACCTCTCCTTGCAACAGATGGCTGGGTTGATGGTGGCGGTGCAGGAAGAGCGTGAGAGATAGGGAGAGGCTGATAGTGGGCTGGTGTTTGGGTAGGTAAAGTCTTGGAGTTGAATGCCTGCGTAACAGCTGTCTGTTGGTCCATAAAGGCTGACATCATGTTGGTTAGAACCTCCATCTTTGCACTAAGTTGTTGTATGGACTCACTGTTTCTTTCGTCAGCAGGACGGTCTCCTCCATCCTGCTGGACACTGTGTGCATGAGCTGTCTTCTGGCGAGGGACCTGACCGAGTCTGCGCTGGTGTTCATTCTCATCACTGATTATCTTCATCACATGGCAAAGAATCTCCTCATCAGTGATGTGGCCACTTGAAAGGATTGGTCTGAGCTGTTGTCTAATGTCTGTGTGTTTTGATCCCAGGCCCTGATAGATGGTGTGAAGAAAAACTTCCTGGATGGTTCTGGAGTCATAGTGGATGTCCGTGCTCGCCTGCCTTGACTGAAAGAGAATCTTCTGTTTGAGCCCGATCATGCGGTAGAGGAACTGTTGGAGAGTTTCTTGGTCATTCTGTTTCGCACACATGAGCTCCTGGAACAGTTCTGTGCCCGCCTTCTC